ACGTGAAACTGTAGCCCTACGGGAGACAGGACTTATGTGATATAAACACCCACCCTGTGTTTCCTGCATGCAACTGAACAAGGATTTTAATATTGAAACGCAACCTTAAGACCACCATGTTATTGCACTCTACTAACTTGCGGTATGTAAAGATCCCTTCGGCGGGATGACATTTTTTCCAGAGGCAATCGAAAGATATGCTTCCCCTGAAGAAATCAGGATTAGTGAATTCAATTTTGGCACTGCCTCCCTTACATTACTTTCCCGATCATTGTACAAATTACACCGAGTTTCTATCCCCCATTTCATAATACATTTGTTGTATATTACATACATACTAAATCAGTCCTCTTAGCTGTTTATTTTCGATGCTTCAGTCTCATTTAGATTATAAGAAATAAATTGGATACGAAGTATGTCTTTATTTTAAATGCTATAATATCAACACGATAGTGTTGTCGAGAGGGATTAAAAAGTTCCGAGGTTTCTGACACCACCGATGATTTTTCCTGGTACAGATTTCATAATCTGAATTTGAGGGACGGATTGCAAGTCTATGAACGTGTTTATGAGTGCTATGTGTAACCGCAGTAGTAGTAGAGTATTCTACAAATTATACCATTTTGGAGACAGATTTGCGAGACAATAATTGTTAGACCCATACCACTAAATTGGCTATTTTTACGCTTTGGCTTAGGTGCTTTTAAGAATTCGGAATCACGACTGATCAGTGAACGAACGTTTTTGGTTCTGTCCGCTTTCAAGTTAGTCCGTTCGTCAACTTTTGGTGTGCGGAGATGAATGAACTGAATAGTTTTACGCACGCCATCGCATACACGATAATAGCTATCACGCCAAAACTGTATGTGTCTGACGAGTGTTCTCAATTTTCGTAGTGTTTGCTTGGAAACTCGTTCTTTTTATATCACATCTAATCATGTGATCTGTTCCGATTTCTTGCATTTTGTGTTGTGTAAGTGAAAATCTATTTTTATTCTGTTGGTGCGTTCATCAGGAAACGAGTGACATTTACAATTAAGTGCAATCGTTCATTACTTTGCGTTTTTTTCAAAATGAGATTCGCTGAGCAGGAAAGATATCTCTTATTGTTTTCTATCAAAATGAGTGATTGACAAAAATAAATTATCATTTATTTCGTTTCAGAGCTGGATTCAAACATTGATTCTGGTTGTCTTTCATTGAAGAATCCGTTGAATGACGCTCCCTTGGAATTTTTTCAAGCTCCAACAACAAAACACGAAAACTTTTATATGGCAAATGCCTCGGTGGTCGATAGCCCTTGTCCCCTGCTGGGGCGAACAGATCCGATGAATCGTCGAGTGCTCCTGAAAACCACCCCCGGGGTGATTCATGGTTCAAGTGAAAGTGTGTGCTCACCGCATGGTTCGTTTCAATTGCTCCACAAGCCCAATCCGATGTGTTTGTTGGAAAAGACTCCGGACGGTCGACTAGTCCTGTCAGATCGTTCTATTTCGCCCATGTATACACCAGTTTTGAGACGAGGTTCTTTGGGAGATTCACCCGAACTGGTCTCGTTTTTCAGCCGGCAAAGAAACTATACACCACAGAATCGTTATAAGGATAGTCACGGGGAAGCGGTGCATATGGGACCAGATACAAAGATGTTGTTTTCGAACGCTTCCTCTCATTACAGTACCGCATCAAACATGCGAGAGAATTCACTCAGTCCGTATCATAACAGTCCTTTGTTTATTTATAACAAGTGTTATCCGAACGAATCAACCGGTTCTACTCAATGTTTCTCCCCAATTCGGCCGTGTTTACCCATGATGACCAGCGGTTTACCCCGTGGTAAACCTTCCAGTCCGCAGATGAAGAAACCATTGGTGGTTAGCGTTCGTGAACTGTCCAGTTTTGGAACAGATCAGCCAATCTACCTGTCTCGATTTCAAAATCGAGCGATTCCCGCGGATGTGGCTCAGTCTGACCGTTGCTCAGCTTCACCGTATCTGGTTCAACGTTCTGCGCATCCCTCAGGCAATCCGCCAATCAGACCAAACACGCGGCCGGTTTGTGCAAGTCAGCTGATGCAAAGACGGGACTTGTCAATGAAAGGAGAGATGAATAAATTCTCCTACGATACCGGATCGCTAAAAATGCCTTATCCGGTACAGTCTGCGTCCGATGCAAAGAATCCTACTGGGGAGAACAATCACCTGTGTCCGCTGAGTAACTATCATGATGGCCAGTGCGTTCGAACAAACAACCTGACGGTGACGGACAGCGCGTCACTCACGTCCAGTGAGCTGTGTGCATCTCAGGAGCTCACACAAACCAACGTGCTACAAAGACGGCCCAAAATGACTACAAACAATCTGATGGGTAGTCGTCCTGTTGGCATAATAAACGATGTATTGTTAGGAAAGGTAAGTGAATGACAAGTGAATGCAAGCAACGGCTAAAGGTAAATAATATGATATCACATTTGTTGTGTTTTGCATGTTTCCGGTACACATTTTTAGCTAGCTAACACCGTCCTTAGTCGGGTGTGCGTAAAAAGAACAGATATAAGCCGACACTCAGATAAGTGTATTTATCAAATCACCAATCATGAGTAGCCAGTTCAGATGAACTCTTAGCCGTCCAGCGGGATTCATGCTTATGGCCGTTGTTCCACACCTGTGAGGACATTTCTCGCCGGAAGACTACCATTAAAAGTCTAAGATATTGTTTATTAAGGACAAAACAATAAAAATCCCCAATCCATCGGAATCGTTAGATGTTTACAATGAGTTATTCTCAATTCATCCGAGCACAACCTAGACCAGTTGCATAGTTATTTGGGTCTCTTATCAGATCACTCAGTTACATTCTCGGACAGCATATGTATATATATATATATATATATATAT